GTTAATATCACCTTCTACAGTTAGATATATAAGCTACCAAATCATTATATTGCAGGAAATAAATCCTAATCATGCGAAAGAGGTACAATTATGTGAAGATTTTACCAGAGAGTAAGCTAAGATTGCATTATAAAGCTAATTAGCTTAGAGGTAGTATATTATTTCTTGAACAGAGTTCCAACGTTCAGGCTGCCGGTATTCTTGCAAAGATAGCTAATAGCAGAAATAAGTACTATTATAAAGCGGTTACGAGAAAGCATCGGAAAGTACGATTGGGTAATCAAGATATCTTGACCTCAGGTGACCAGATTGTGTGAGATCGTATATAATGATCTTCGAAAATCACCGAAAGCCTGGCTAGCTTATATGCTGATGCCGTAAATGACAATTACTTATACCTTGAGTGAGACTAAAATAAAATAGGCACCAATAATTGCAGATTATACAGGACGATTCAAAGTAAGTTCACATAGCAGTCTTTATATATATATATATATATATATATATATATATATAAGCGTGATGTGCCAAATGCACTCTCGATCTGTAATTGAATACCGGTTTCTCTTTCTATATTAGTTTTGAGTAAACATTTATACTGTAATAGTTATTTCCTGTCTATCTTATTTCCAGCTGGCTTCGCAAGTGTTCACAGACCTAATTGGAACAATTCTTAAGAACTGGGAGTTATTCAATAATGGATCATTTTTGATGGATATAAACTTTAATAAACGTTCTCATTTATAACACATCAGTGTTTTAATTACGGCAATGCTTACCTATCGTGACAAGTCGAAATTCGACCTAGTAGTATAGTAAATCATGTTCAAAGTTGCAGTGTCTGGTAAACGGTGCGTATAACTAATCGCGTGTGCGCTAAACTGGTAATTATTACACAAGAACGCGAAACAACATCCCTTTCTCACAGCCACATAAGACTGCACAGTACACTCTCCCTACCGTAACGCTATAAGAATGAGTTAATGCCCATATAAATAAATTTATGTAAAACTAAAAAAATTACAATATTAGAACTTCTTGTCATCAAGAAACATAGCTATGGTCAGTGTTAACAATGGATTCTGACGATGTAGCTTCATCATTAGCACCGCTTGAACTCATCACTTGTGCGCAAATGTCTTCCGATGCTTCGAAGCATGAACGGATGAGTTTACTTGCCAAGGGTTCACTAAGAGCATGGATTGAGTGGTAGTTGTTAGTGAACTTCTCTAGCAGCTCATCACTCCCGGTAGAGATTGACATGTTGTCCAGCGCACGAAGAACCAAGTCCATTATATTTCCTTGTCCATCGGCTGCTATGTTGAAATAAGTCTACAATGCTTATTGAGACAAAGGAACACATACTTACCTCCACTTATTAGATCTTTAGAATGTGCATACAGAATATGACCACAGGGCAGCATGTAGTCATTGAAACGCTCACAAGCACATCGTACACGTGAAGTATCAACAACATACATCATACCCTTGTCGTAGCACCGGATGTATTCCCCTGCTATTCATTCGTGTCTCATTGACCTAACACGTTTATAATTTACAGCTACAATTTTAGCTGCAAAAGATGTGAACTCATTTAAAAGAGTTCGAAATGACATAGGAACGTGGAACTAATGAAACATTTAACTATATTTCTTACCTCAAGAATTGGAAAACGTTGACGATCCTTCACAGCGCCATATGGACGCAAACGTAGGTCAGTATTTGTTCTGCTTCAAATTTTCCAGAACGTCAATAGCAGAGAATCACCTCTTCTAAGACATTCTTTTAAATGTTTATGAGCACTTTCGACACGGTTGTTCGTGTGGTTACCCAGGTTTAATACATGTCGCCGGTAACAACGGGCCCACATTGACTTCCGGGCAATCCAGTAATCTTTGTTGTAATCATACGCCCGTGGGAAATGGATCCTCAGATGTTCGTACTTTTGAGTAAATCTGAATATAATGCGTTACGAAAAACGAAGCTCACATATCAGACCGTCTAGTCTTTACAAGGTGTTCCAAGCATTTGCGTACATCAGGATTTTGGAACTACGGAAAATAATTTGTACAGCTAACACTTACCTTCCTGAAAAATGCTCTTCAGACATGGAATGAACAAAGTACTATGTCGGCATGACTGTGCGTAGACTGCACTTCTGAAATTTCGGTTGCTGCCGAATCCATAACAAAAGTGCGTGTATTATAAGTACAGCACATTATATCTTTGAAGCATTCCAATAGTTTTACGACATCTCGTCGTTCTTGCCTGCAAAGAGCATACATAACAGTGTGCCCTTGCCCAAGACTATCAGTCACCACTAGCTGGAACAGTGGAAAACTGTAAGATAAATTAATTGCTATTCGTTACTTACCCAACTTTGTTGGTCTGATAAGTCGAGTCAATACATATTACCTCTGGGAACGCGTGGTAAACAGCAACTTGCTCCCTGCGACTGAAGCAAATCATAGATATGTTCCCATGTTCATTGAATACCTTTACTTCAGTGTTTGGTTAAACGCGCTGTAAAATGTTATTGATATTTTTAGTGTATAAGCTCAAACAATTACAATGTGAGTTCAACAACCTGGGTACAACTGTGAACGCATTTTAGAGATTTCGTCCTTGGTAAGCTGTTTATGGAACTTCCAAGAAACCAGATGCCGTAAACTACGAGTCAGCGTCTTACTCAATAGCACCGTTCTTAAATATAGACGTTCACTTGACGTCAACTGTCGTCTTGAAGGATCTACAGAAATATATCCTTCTGTGCAAGAATGGTTGTGCACGGTCTTGATAGAGGTGACTTTCAGCTCACCATTTACTGCACGGACCCAAAATCCAGATTGACACTGGCAATATTTCGACCTGAAGGATAAATTAATTTGAAGCAAAGCATACGTAGATGACTGACGTCGCCTTCTTTGTCTAGGTTGTGGGGGTGAGTTAGAAGTTGCATGCTCTTCGGAAGAATGATGATCACTATCATTACCTACATCCTGAACGCAAGCATCTGACTCTGACGAACTGCGTTTACGTCCATATATACAAACATATCTCACGAACAAATACTTTAGATTTGGGTCATCGATGGCCCAAATCTATAAAGAACAATGATCATTGTTCGTTTACATACTGACATAACGTACCTAATATGCGTATACTACAAAAATAATCACTAACCACAGAAGTCATATTACCTTCCGTTAATAATTAACCTCAAACCTTGTAAGATACCGGGTTCTGACGGGTTACATCCACGACTGCTGTCATCTCATGCAGACATTATTTCAAAACCGCTCGCGACACTCTTTAACATGTCCCTTTCACTCGCTCAACTAACTAGGGATTGGAAAGATGCTATTGTCAGTCCTATATTTAAGGATGGTCAGAGACACATCGTATCTAACTACCGACCTGTCAGTCTGACTAGCATTGTCGTTAAGTTACTTGAAAAGATAATTCGGGTTAGGTTGCTAAGCCACGTATATTCACACAATCTGTTAGCTCCTGAGCAACACGGATTTCGTGATAAGCGTTCATGCTTGACTAACTTATTGCGAGAGAGGATTGGACAGCAGCCTTAGATAAAGGTCTGTCTGTCTATGTTATACTCATAGATTTTAGCAAAGCATTTGACAAGGTTTCACACTTAGGTCTTATGCAGAAGCTCACAAGCTTCGGAATAATAGGTGCTGTACAGGAGTGGATAGGAAACTTCTTATGTGACCGCAGACAGAGAGTGAGGGTCAATGGGACGCTATCCGATTGGAAGCCGGTCAAAAGTGGTGTACCCCAAGGCACCATATTAGGCCCTCTGCTATTCCTTCTCTACGTAAATGAGTTACCGCTGTTGCTTAGGTCGTCGACATTATTATTTGCGGATGATGTCAAAATATGGAGAGCAATAAGAGGTGAGGCTGATCATCTGGATCTTCAAGCTGACTTAGACAATTTAGTTAGATGGGCTCGAGATTGGGGCTTAGAAATCAATTCTAGGAAGAGTGTGCTAATGCACATCGGTCACGGCAATAGTTACCATTATACTATTGATGGTAAACCTCCTCCATGCGTTCAAGAACATAAAGACTTAGGAGTAATAATAAGTCATGATTTAAAAACAACTGCGCACTGCAACGCAGCCGCTGTCAAAGGTTTTCATGAGTTGTGGTCACTTCGCCGAGCGTTCAAATCCTTTGACGAGGAAATGTTTCGAATTTTATATCCCACCTATGTAAGACCACATTTAGAGTACTGTATTCAAGCAGCTAGCCCATGTCAGATAAAGGATACTACCTCACTTGAGCGTGTCCAGCGTGTGGGAACGAAATTAGTGAAGGGTCTTTCTAAACTCCCTTACGATGAGCGTTTAAAACGCTTAAACCTTTTCCCCTTGTCGTATCGTAGGACTCGAGGTGACCTTATACTGGCATTTCGTATCTTTAATTATGACTTGGGTGTTAATATGTCTTATCTTTTTGCTCCCTCCAGCACTAATAATCTCCGAGGTCACAGCAAGAAGGTTCATAAACCACGATCTAATAAAATCAAGGTGGGGTTCCGTTTTTCTCATCGAGTAGTCAATGATTGGAACGCATTGCCCGATCAAGTGGTATCAGCCCCATCAGTGAATATTTTCAAAGAGAAACTGGAACTTCACTGGAAGCCAACCTGTTAGGATTAACACAGGTTCACTAACCTACTATCCTTATTACTGATCGAAGACTGAAGACCTTATGTACTTTTTTCAAACAGGTCTCAAAATTGTCCCAACTTGTAAATCTCAGAGATAACATAATATCATTGAAGATTCGTCCTATATCATGCATCAACACGATGGCATCATCTTCGTTATTAGAAGGATGGACGTTATCAGACATGGTGTGGCTGAACTCAATTCAAATCTAAAAATGTATTGATTTGACCGCCTCTGAAAAACTTTACGAGTTGTTGATGTGACGCACCAATCATCTTGAGACAGATTGACCTTCAAGTGCTCGCAACCTCCCTTAGTGGACGATACCCCTGGAGCGTTGCATTTGCAGCCGTTGAAGGTTGGTTCCAGGAACATTATATTCTTCCTGAAATTATGAGAGTCCTAGAACTTTCTACGTGTTGAAATGTGAATCAGGAAACGTTCCAGGAACCTGATGTGTCAAAATAATATTTCATGTTTATTTACCAGGACTTTTATATCTGTTTGTTTTTGTATACCTTGATCCAAAATTAATTTTAGATGCCTTCAGCTAATGTCATCCACAATCGCCCTAGGCCGTTTAAAAACAACTAGTTTTCCCCAGATTCTAGGGGAATTTGGAGAAAAAACCCTAGACTAATTGGGGTATTGATGATTCCTCCAAATTCACTCGAGGTTTCAGGATAAAACCCCAAGATAAGCGTGGTGCTCACCTGTTGTCTATTAGTATTGTAGTACTGTTTGACAACCAATAAGACGTGAATCTGGAGACTCGGGCGAAATGTCTCAATATTCCCTCTTAACAGGCGAAAATGCGATTCATAGATTTAATGTAACCTGAATTCACATCAATTTTTCTTGAGAGATGTCGCTTAGATTTTCCTGAAGTTTACACTTGTTACGTCTTTCTTTGTATGGACAGACACAAGTTCGTTAACTGAAAGTCTTTCCTATTCAGTTCATAAATACTTAACTACCATGATTTTTGTAGCTATTTCAGTCCATAGTGCCACCATGGTTAATTGCCGTGAAGTCTTCGGCATTGATAGTCTAGTACATGTTTATTGACTTGGCTTTGATTCATACCTAATATCAAGGCTAGTTTAACTAACTGATTCTGTGAGTAATATAGATGAATCGAATCTCAACACCCCACTCAATGGCCAGTGATTTTCTGTCTGACGGGTTACATACGGTGGTTGTTTTAAATGTGTCCCCTAATGTATGACCAACTACAGTCACTGTATATTCTTACACAAACAAAAAATTAACAAGTTATGGTAGCAATTCAACTTCAATTTAGTGATAAATTTCTTATTTTAATGTCTGTATCAAGCGTTGGGTTCCATATTCCACTTGTCGCATATAATCCTACCCACATAAGATAGAAATAGGTTCCAAACCTCAGAGGCGACGTGTACCCAAGAAACCTTCCCCTTCCATTGAGGGTTGTATTTTTTTCCACAGACTTAAAGGTATGCTACACAAATGCTCGTAGTCTACTAAATAAAATGGCGGAGCTTAAGGCAATGGTGGATAAAGAAAAATCGGATGTTATTGCTGTCTCAGAAACTTGGTTAACGTCGGAAGTATTACTTACTTACTTACTTACGCCTGTTACTCCTCGCGAAGGAGCATAGGCCGCTCACCAACATTCTCCATCCAACCCTGTCCTGGGCAATCCTTGCCAGCTCTTTCCAGTTCTTATTCATCCCTTTCATATCCGCTTCTATTTCCCGACGTAGTGTGTTCTTTGGTATTCCTCTTTTCTTCTTCCCTTCAGGATTCCAAGTTAGCGCTTGTCTCTTAATGCAGTTTGATGATTTCCTCAATGTATGTCCTATCCATTTCCATCGTCTTTTCCTAATTTCCTCTTCAGCTGGAAGCTAATTGGTTCTCTCCCACAAAAGGCTGTTGCTGATGGTATCCGGCCAATGGATGTTGAGTATCATGCGTAGACAGCTATTAATAAATACCTGTACCTTCTTGATGGTGGTTGTTTTAGTTCTTCACGTTTCAGCTCCGTACAGTAGAACTGCCTTGACGTTCGTATTGAAGATTCTGACTTTGATATTGGTTGAAAGTTGTTTTGAGTTCCATATGTTCTTCAGTTGTAGGAATGCCGCTCTAGCTTTGCCAATCCTCGCCTTGACATCTGCATCTGAACCTCCTTGTTTATCGACGATGCTTCCCAGGTATGTGAAGGATTCCACGTCTTCCAGAGTTTCGCCATCGTCGGAAGTATTAGATAATGAAATTCACTTGTCTGGTTTTTTATCCAGTAGGGCTGATAGATTAAATCGTAGGGGAGGCGGGGTAATCCTGTACACGAAAAGTACCCTAGCCATAAGAGTAGCTGAGACAGTAGCACACGTTTCAGGGACATGTGAATTGGTGCGATGTAGACTGAATTGTATACGGCAAGATATTGAGTTAGTTGTAGTATATCGCAGTCCAGAATGTGTGGTAGATGATTTTCTCCTAAGTAAACTTAAGTCCTGGTGTAACAAGGGTAAAAGCCTTGTGGTAGGCGACTTTAACGCACCGTATATAAACTGGGTTAACTTAGAAGTAGGATCATCGACAACGTCGTTCGATTTCAAACTGTTAGAAACATCAATTGCATTAGCTTTGTTCCAACACATTAGAACTCCCACAAGATATGACTTCAGAAACACTTCTCTTTTACATTTAGTCTTCACACATGGTGATGACGTTGGTCAAATGACTTTCCTCCCACCACTAGGAGAAGTGACCACGCAGTCATCTTATTCAAATTCGTGGCTGAGATTGCTTGTCAAACAGTTGCGCCGGCCCGTCCTAACATATGGAGGCCATCAACTCCGCAGCATCGGCTATAAACTGGGAAATTGACTCAACGGCATCAGTACAAGGGGCATGGACGCATTTCAGGCAGTTATATAACCGGGTAACTCAACCATACATACTCTAGACAGTCCCAAAGAGGAAAAAGTACGGCTTTTACTGGATAGGCAGGGATATTCGACGTTTTTTTACCAAGACAAAATAAGAAATGTTGCTATCAGCCTTGGTGTAGCAGGTACAATGGAACGCTACAGATCGGTAAGCACGTATATAATCAAAACTTAGGAAGCTCAAAGAAAATATGAAATGCAGTTGGCACAATGTGGACTCAAGCAGCCTTAGAGAATCGTCTCGTACATAAACTACAGAACAAGGATGCATCATTGGATTTCCGACCTAATTAAAGGGAGTGAATTTGAAATGATAGAGGAAGATCAGGAAAAAGTAGAGGCTTTGGCTGACTTTTGGGGCAGTTTTCACTCGGGAACCTCCTCTAGACAGAGAACCAAACCCAAATACAGAGTCAACAAACCACCTCTCACCGTGGACTTCGATCAAGACGATGTATTTAAGGCTCTTAGCACTTTAGACACGGAAAAGTCAACAAGACTAGATGGACTACACCCTAAAATCTTGGGACATATTGCACAATATATCGCGACCCCAGTGACTGTGATATTCAACATGTCACTTGACCAAATTGTGTTACCTATGGAATGGAAGGACGCAATCGTCACTCCCATACATAAAACAGGACCAAGACAACTTCCATCGAACTACAGACCTTTAAGCCTCACCAGCGTTGTAGTTGAAATATTGAAAATAGTCAAGAAGGCCATAATGACATTTGTGGAGACCAATAACCTGTTAAGCAGCGAACAACATGGTTTTAAAAAGGGTTTATCTAGTACAACGAACCTCCTTATAGCAAGAGAATATTGGACAAAGACGCTAGACAACGGAAACTTGGTGGATGTTGTCTACATACATTTCAGTAAGGCTTTTGACAAGGTGTCAACAAATAGACTGCTACTAAAGTTAGAAAATCTTGGTATTGTTGGACCTCCTTAAAAATGGCTTAAGGATTTCCTAGTAGACAGAAAGTAAAAATAAATTCCAAGTGCTCCAACTGAAGACCAGTACTTAGTGGAGTACCTTAAGATTCCATCCTAGGTCCTTTACTTTTCATACTGGATGTAAATAATCTCTCAAGTATAGTACAGTCCCCAATATTATACGCTGACGGTGTAAAAATCTGGTGAGTAATAACCGGAGACGCAGATGCATGCGCACTTCAGGTAGACTTACATAATGTGATTAACTGGTCTAAAGAGTGGCTGATGCCTATCAACGCAGCAAAGTGTGTCTACATGCACTTTGGGGATACAATGGTTAATAGGTACAGCATAGGGGAAGTGCCAGTACCATTGGTCCGGTCTCATAAGGATCTTGGGGTGACAGTGACTCATGATCTTAAGAAGACGGCCCATTGCTGGGAGGTCGCAGCTAAGGGGTTTAGAACCCAGAGGGTTCTAAAACGGACATTCACTCAATTAGATATTACCACGTTCACTACAGTATACACAACCTTGGTGTGAACTAAGTCTGCGAACTGCGTTGAGGCTGCAAGCCCCTATCCAAAAGGTGACTCGGATATCCTGGAAAAAGTAGAGGGAAGCTATCCGTGCAATTCCAGAACTCTGGGGTTTACCATACAAAAAACGGCTGGAAAAGCTGGACCTCTTTACTATCTCAGGCTAAGAGGAGATCTAATGTCGATGTACAGATTACTGAGAACTGATTTTGAACCTAACATATTCTCTTTTTTCTCCCACTAGATCGGGACATTTCAGAGGACATAGCAGGCGAGTAGAAAAGCCAAGAACGAACAAAATACCCATGGAATACAGGTTTCCACACTGAGTCATCAATACTTGGAACCTGCTGCCCGAAGCAGTGGTGTCCGCGCCTTCAATTGACTCTTTCAAGAGAAGTCTGGACACTCACAGAAGCATACTAGAAAAGGAATAACATAGGCCGTAGGCCTTCTGTCCTTACTATACAAATCTGAATCTGAATATAGTATCCCTTGACTTATGAATACTATTATCAGCATGTTGACCTGCAATTAGTGGGGTTACCTAACAGTTTCTCCTTGTTGAAGTGGAATGTCAAGTGTCGATTTAGTGTACTGTGTTGGAAAGTAAGAGAGCAATCTAATGTAATTTACTTACATGCTTGTTTGCTTAGTTATGAGATACAACATCTGTGGCATTTTATCTAGTGTTATATCTCGGTTTATAAGTGTTTGCCTAGTTTTCATTTACATAAAAGTTCTGTGACCATTATACGTTTCTGATAAGTTTTTCCAGTAACTATTCTGCTCAGGTTCTCAATATAATTGAAAATAATGGTTTTTTATGACAGCTTGACCATAAGTTTTTACATTTATGTTGGATAAGTGGTTTGAACTTTTCACTGCATTGATAGATAGTATATATTTCTATCTCGGGAAAAGTAGACATATGGGATAGGGGTCATGGTAAGTAGACTAATTGTGTTTATGAAAATAACTGCAAGGTTACATTTCTTGTCATGTGTGTTCAACTATTCTTACATTACAAAGTAGTTACCTATAGTGTTCAACAATCACATAAAAATATGAAATTTATCCATAAAGTTATTCATTAAAATAGGATTACATCTGAAATAAGAATTCCTGTTTTGATTTTAGGATGAATGTATTGCAGATGGTTAAACAAATGGATTCTCTTTCACCGAGAATTCAAGCCTTATTAAAAGAAAGTAATTGTTTCAGGTGTAATGAAGAAGCAAATGATGAATCTCCATTTTCTCGAGATGCTTTAAAGGCTAGATTGAGTGACCTGGAATTCCGTGTAACACAGAATAAAGAAACGGAAAAGTATGCTTTCTTAAGTTATCTTATTGTTTTAGACCTTTTTCGGGGAAATATGTAAATGAGAAATCACCTGGAATATATAAATGTGTTGTCTGTAGCTCAAAGCTGTTTAGCAGTGAAGCGAAATTCTTCTGTAGTTGTGGCTGGCCTGCATTTAACAGTCCTATAGAGTGTAACTCCTTGACCTCATCCATTGATTTGTCATCAGGTATGTGCTAGGTAATTCATTTCGTTTTTGTTTATCGAGATAACTTATGTACTAGAGTGCGTCAACTCCTGAACTAAGGATGGGGAGTGAGGTAGTCGAATGCGTCGACAACTTCACTTGTCCTGGAAGTTTGATCAGCATTAATAGATTGTTGTCCGACGAAATCTGTCCACGAATTCAGAAGGCTCATTTGGTTTCTGCCAACTCACGTCATTTATGGCGAAAGCAAGATATCCGTCTATCAATTAAAGGATAAGTATACTGTGCTACAATTCGTTCCGTTTTACTTTACGGCGGCGAAACGTGGCCATTAAGAGTAAAAGATATGCGTAAGCTACTAGTATTTATTCACAGATGTCTTAGAAATATTGCTCGTATTTGCTAGGATCATCGGGTAAGTAATAGTGAGGTTAGACGCAGGGTATTAGAGAATAACGGTAAATCTGTTGTAAATCTTCATCTATTGAAATGGTTGGGCCACGTGTTACGTATGCCTGAATACCGATTACCACGACGCGCAATGCTGACTAGTGTTGGAGACGGTTAGAAGAAAGTTAGAGGCGATCAAACCAAAACGCGGTATCAGTACTTGAAGTCACTAACTTCTATTCTTAGCCATGTTGGTAGATTCATACTACTTGGTTGGTGTCCGCGTGACTATCGTAATCAATGGTTGGAGACTCTGGGTGATATGGCTCAGAATCAATCACAATGGCGTAGGTATGTACACTCTCTGTCTTCCCTTAACCCATGAGATTAAAATAAGAAGATCTTAACAATGAATGAGGACTGGGTTGATTAGCACCCTCGTCCAGATTTTTGAAGCTATTACATTCTGTACTAAAATAACTTACCATCAAGCGCCTACCTTTATTGATCCAACATTTTACTTAATTTGAGATAAACTTACCACCCTTCTGACCAGAGCCACACCGAATTAAATCTAGTATAGTGATTTGTTCTTTATATTTCACCCGACAAGCCAGGAGTTCATATGCTTCACTACCAAGCAACATCTTCACTTCAAGTCATATGAGCACACTGTTGTGCATCTAGAGGATTATACTACTATGAATTGCAATTCCCTCAGTCCCATCTTTCATTACCATTAGTCTCAGATACAACCATTTTTCTGAGAGATTGATACTACTGAAGGCCTTTCGGATCTGTTATATTATTGAATTTAGCCTGACTTATACTCCTTTCTCATCTAACTTCGAATTGTGATTACATGAAAAACCTTTAGGACTACATGCTTTATTTAAATCCCGACCGTAGCTGCTACCTTGACGTGGTGGTCGGGCTTGCCTATCGTGATGACCCAACCGAGCTATATTGGCTGGAACACATGTTCCTGCAGGTTCTACCATGCCAGGCAGGTCGATTGGAGAACGGTAAGACTAAAAGCAGCAACTCAAGGTCTGAGGGCGAAGTCGTACTGCTGACTGTACAGAGGTGTGATAGCAGTAAGGTGTTTCCCTCGGACAACCAGCATCTGCAGCGATGCTGCCTTCTCACAAGGAAGGAAGGCGTTAGAAAATGTTGACCTTAAAAATGTCACACCTCACCTTACCCCACGGATCTCCGTCTCCAGCGGCAAGGCCCTTTGAAGAACGGAGCTAACACATTAAAAACCTCCCACAAAAAGGCCGTGCGCGACCGGCCTCAAGCAGTTGTCCCTTGGGCTCTGCGGTCACGCTCTCAGGTCGTTAAGACCAAAACTATTTCGACTTCCTTTTCAGGCTCCTCAAGAAATACCCTTCCATGATGTGGGCAGCTGGGAAGTGATATCAGCCCTCATACCCGTAACAACACACGAGGCCGAGTCAGTCACATTCAGATCCCTCCTTCACCTTCAGATAAATCTCTTATCTCCACGACTAACCTTTTTCACATCCCTTTGTCACCTCGTAACGCCAGGGCAAACGATTCGAGTACGCGGAACGTTATTCCTGGTCTCCTGAAACCACACTCTAAACTACACATAGGAGCTTTCAACGTCCGAACACTGTGCCGAATAGGACAATAGGCTTCCTTAGCTAGGACTTTAGAATCTCGCTCCATCGACGTGTGCTGCGTCTCCGAAACGCGCATAGAGGATCCGAGTAGTATCATTCATTTGACCTCAACATGTCAAAGTAACGAACCAACTCGATTTACGCTTCGTGTATCTGGGTGCCCCCAAACGCCTTAGTATGTTCGAGGGTGGGGTGGGTTCGCCCTCCATGTCCAAATGCTCTCACACGGCCACGCGTATACAGCCTCTGCGAGGGAAGTCCTACTCATTGCCTTCACGTGGCGGGGTTGTTGTTTACGAAAATGAGAGGACGTAAAGCGAATGTCCGGTGCTTTATCCGGATCCCAAACCAATGGTGCACATGTGCTCCAGTATCCTGCGGGAACAAATGGCGTATGAACCAATTTCTTGGTCACCGGCTACCATGGGACTGCATCTCCTTACGATGCTCCACTGCCTTGTGGGCTAGACCTTTAGGTCAAAGGCTCGGGGTGTGGCCCCCTTAAAAAACCACCTGCTTCGGTTTGGGAACCGGGGCAGTGTCTCAGCCCACGTACAAAAACATAATGAACAGTCTACTTATGGAAAATATTCTTTTAGCCCCGATTAACAATCAAATAACTCGCATTATTATCATTGTTACTGCTATTATTATTATTATTATTATTATTATTATTATTATTATTATTATTATTATTATTATTTACTACGTCATTTATTCACTCCCTTTTATTTCTACTCTACCTATCCTTATTTTTCGACTTATACAGCAGCTCGCCTATGGTGGACATTCGGCTCTATCTAAACGTACTCGAGTTACTGCCTGGTTGAAAATTGTATGCTACCACCGAATACGAGTACTGAAGCAGTTTTTCTGAAACCACGTGCACCATTCAAACTGGCTGCCTTCAACGTTCGCACACTTATACAGGTCGGACAACAGATTGGGCTGGCTATGTCTTAGGAAAGTCTTAATATTGACGTTTGTTGTCTATCCGAGACCCGTATTCGAGACTCTGGTGAAGTACTACAAATTCGCTCTCCATCTGTCGCTTCAAAAAGCTTGTTCTAAGTGCGTTTATCCGGGGATTCTGTGGCATCTTCGTCTGGTCTTACTGGCGTTGGTGTCGCACTAAGCTCTAGAGCTGAGGCAGCACTAGTCGACTGGATCCCCATTAACAGTCAGTTATGTGCTGTTAGATTAGAAAGTACCATCAAAGTGAGAAGAAATCGGCGTGAGAAACGATGTCTTTTCGTTATCTCCGCCTATGCCCCGACAGATTGCAGCCCGGATGCAATCAAGGATGAATTCTACCACCACTTGACCGTTCTTCTCCAGAAAGTGCGTTCGACAGATATTGTAGTACTAGCTGGAGACTTGAATGCTCAGGTCGGGCGTCTAGGCACAGAAGAGAGTCGTTTAGTTGGCCGATGGGGACTTGTTGGTCGCAGGACAGATAACGGGGAACGTCTACTGCAACTGTGCACAGACCACAACCTGTTTCTGGCTAGCACTAACTTTCGACACAGTCATCGCCGATGTGCCACCTGGCGTCCTCCTTCTGCATCTCAAGCCTGGACTCAGATTGATCACATCGCGATCGGCTACCGCTGGCGTGGTTGTGTACAAGACTGCCGCTCCTTTTGGAGTACCTATCTGGAATCTGATCATGCCCTGGTCTGCGCCAATCTTACCTTACTTTTCAGTGGACAACGAAGTGACCGCCACCAAAGGATTGATGTCAGCATATTGGCTGCAACTTCTGTTGCTAAAAAGTATTGAATCGAGCTAGCTTCTAGGCTAGCTACCATTCCACCGAAAAGTACAGATAAGCATTGGCTGCAATTGCATGACGCCATGAAGATGGCGGGTCAAGTCAGTTGTGGGTTCGCGAAACGTCCCGCTTATAAGCACTGGGTTTCTTCTGGTTCCTTACAACTGATTGAAGCCTGTCGGTCTACTCCGGGTGACCGCGAGTATGACCACAAACGAAGAATGTTGCATACTGAAATTGGTCAAAGCTTGCGTAAGGACCGAGAAACCCGGTGGTCGGAGCGTACTAGTGAGCTGGAAGCAGCAGCCGCATCTGGTAATTACGGGAAGCTCTTCCAACTCGTCCGAGCCACTGGCAGCAAGAAGTCTGGTGTGAGCGAAACAATCTGCGAGGATGACAGGATGCCAATCACTAACATCCATCGACGTCTTGGACGATGGGCAGAATTTTTCGAAGGGCAGTTCAACTGACCTGGTGTTCCAGCAACATCAGTCAGACTGTCCTGCCCCCCATGGCGGGTGACGACTGATCCACCAAATGAGGCGGAAGTCCGCAAGAAACTCCAACTCTTGAAACGTTACAAATCACCGGGCCCAGATGACTTACCTCCGGCTCTTTTTAAAGATGGTGGTGACTTTCTGACTGAGGGACTGACGACGTTGTTTACAAAGATCTGGGAACTAGAGAGTGTACCAACGTCATGGAATGAGTCGATAGTTGTCCCTATCTTTAAAAAGGGTTCACGTTGTTCCTGTAACAACTATCGGGGGATAAGTCTACTTCCGATTACGTCCAAGCTATTGGCTTCCGTCATACTTCGTAGGTTGTTCAGAACCCGAGAAGGATTGACTCGCGAGGAGCAGGCTGGGTTTCGTTCCGGTCGAGGATGTATTGATCATATCTTCACCCTCCGCCAAGTGTTAGAACACCGCCATACTTATCAAAGGCCAACAATCGTAGTGTTTCTTGATATCAGGGCTGCCTTCGATTCGTTGGACAGAACAGCTCTGACGGATGTAAGTAATGGTGGTGTGGATCTGTTGCCTGGAGAAGAACTTCTCGACCTTGAGTGTGCGGATGATATTGTCTTACTGTGCGATAATACCCAAGCTATGCAATCCGCACTTAATCAGTTGGCAATCAGTGTCCGTAGGTATGGTATGTGCTTTGCACCTTCGAAGTGCAAAGTACTTTGACAAGACTGGTAG